GGGCGGCCTGCACATATCAGGTGGATGCTGGGAAAAGCAGTGTGTTACAGCAGTAACACAGACACATACACAGCGGGGAACTAAGTGTGAGTCAGTACCCCCCACACACACACACACACACACACACACACACACACACACACACACACACACACACACGAAGCGCTCAAATACTCGACTCACTGATGAGCTGTCCAGCGATCGTTTACTGTTATCCATTTACCAAGCTGGTATTACTAATGCTGGCGCTAACATGCGCTGAATGGGAAGGCAATATTATCCCGCCGTATATCATCGCTTCTCTCCGTTGTTCACCTGTCAGTCTGCGTGAGTCAACATACTAGCACATACTAACACAAACAATCAGGAGGCCTGGAGATGGTACCCTCAAGACTTACATTTATAGCAGCAATATCATTCTCGTAGGCTTCCCTCAGCTTCTTCATGATTTCCATCTCAGCTTTACAACACGCATCTACGCTGCCCTTCACCGTGATGGTCCTCTCAGGGTTGTAAATAGTTAAGTCTTGTAACCTGAAAGGAAAATCACGCACATACAGACACAGAAATGATTACTGTATAGACGTGCAGAGGATTCCCAAAACAGATTCTAAAGAATAATGATATATTTAGGTTCTGACTAAGTTTCCACAGGCTGGATACTACATTTCCCATAATGCAACTCAGCTGTGTCTTTCAACATGCTGCATTCATGACATACAGGATGGATGGCAGTGAAGAGAAGCTTCCAGCGTTGTTAATAATAACTTGGCTGAGTGAGAGTTAAACTGCACTGACAGTAAAACAGAATATCAATTAAATTTAGGTTTAACGCTAAACGACATATATTGGCTGACATGTTTTGTTCGTTTTTAGATTCTTGTTTATTACCAATATAACTCAGTCAAGCATATGGGAGCTTTAAAAGTGCAGTTTTGGCTTAGACTATGATTCACACGTCAAAAAAAATACAGATATGATGATTTGTAGTCATGTTCCAACTATGCTCTGGGTTTAAAACATAGCATCTGATACATTTTCACTTCACCAGATTCTAAAAGAGAGATTTTTGGAAATGCTGTCAACAAAAACAAAAGAGGTCTGCATTTCAGACTGGACGGACCGTTTTTAAACCATAAGAGACATCACACTTTGTTTCCTAATTGGGTCTTGCTGGTCACAAGGTGGACAGACTCATCCCGCACCTACCAGTCACATGACCCTTTCACAGAAGACAACAGCTTATACCACTGGACAACATGCATGGATAATGCTATGCTAGCACCTGATTTAAATCAAATCCTGCATTTTACATTACGTGAACAGTGATGTAATGTGACATACTGTTCACATTTCAGGCTATTGAAAAAGTCTATGTCCCTTTAAACTACTACTGCTTAATTCGTGTTACTCCTTTAATTCTCTGTATTCTGGCCACACATTCCCTGAAACCTAGCGCCATGTAGCAGCAACTCAGACCTCAACTAGTGTGACAGGTCTGTTTGGTTGCAACACAAAGATAATATGTCAGCGAAACAAAACAAAACAAAACAAAACAAAACAAAACAGGTAAAGCAAATGTTAGTGACCTGCCAGTATGCTCACATGCCATTTTTTCTTGTTCCACAGCTTTGACAGAAGTGCACACACTGTCTGTTCTGAAGTCTTTTCATTTTCCTCCCTTTCAGTAATCGACTGTTGTTTAAGATATATTAGCTTAACACCTGACATGATCAGCTCAAGTTTCACTCGCGATGGCGGAGCACTGCAGACACATCAGCATATGAGCATAAATGCAAACAACTATGTCGCCCACTACAGCACAGGCTCCGCAGGGATCCAACACAATGCTATAAATTAAGCTCAGCAAGTCATGTGGATTAGCAGCAGAGGGACATACATATACAAATGGAAGCCAAAGGAAGCAACAGTGTGATTGATGTTTTTCTTCTATTTGTGCAACAGCCAGATAATGACTTAATCTGTACATTTCAATGTTAACCTGAGGAATATAAAAGGAAAAAAATGCTTATGTCTATGGTTACCTGTTATCTTGAAAGCTGCTGGCAAATTTTTGGAAATTCAAGGTGTCTGATACTCAGCTGAACCGGCACCACTGAGATAATACTACTCTAAAAAGTCTGTTACATCAATCAAAGACGCAAAGCCCCATAGACCAGTTATCCTGGACATTACACAAATGTTAACACCTCGGGGCCTTTGAAGCTCAAACTCTCTGCACTCTGTTGGTGAACACAGTTGACACTGCAAAAAGACTTAACAGAACCATCAATTCTGAATCTACTATTTGAGCTTCTCAAAAGGGCTCTAGCCCGCTCTTCCTCCACCTCGACGTCTCTTTCTCAAGGCTCATTACATTCTCAGAGCTCGCAGACACAGAGCAATTCATTAGCACTAAATGAAGGAAGGTTGGGGAGCACAGTCTGTTAAATGGGGTGCAATCACTACCTCTCTAATATCATGTTCTGAAAAGAAAAAGCTGTAATCGAATCGTCACGTTACTTCTCTAACAACTCGGTTAAGTGTAACCACATGCCGACGGGTTAATGAGCACAGAGGAAGGAGGTTACAGTGAAAAGGGCTTGAAATCACTGTCTGTTATTTGTGATTTGGTTAAATCAGCGACAGTAAAAATCTTTGATCTCACTCAAAACATAAATCCACTGAGGAGAATTGCAAATATGAGAGGTTACACATGTGTAAGAGCACCATAAGCAAGTTAAAAGCTGGACTTACGAGGAGATGGTTATCTTGGTCCCTGTCTCCTCCTCGATCTTCTTCAGGTTGCGGCCCTCTTTGCCAATCAGCCGACCCACAAGGCTGTTGTGGGCAAGGATTTTCAGAGGGATGTCCTCCGTCCTACACAGAGGCACACACACGTGTAAGGTGATATAGTAAAAGGTAGGTGCTACAGAGTATCACCTATGAGCTATGATATGGTGTCATGAAGAATGCAGAAAGGTTAATGCTGACATGCCTCTGTTACAAAGCGTATTGTTCTATGAAAAACAAACCTGTGCTGATGTTAATTTTACTATTCAAAAACTCCATTTCACAGACAAATCTAGTTTACAATACATACGTGGCAACAACCAAACTCCAGAAAAATGTTCTGTGTTTTTGGTGACAGAAGGTGAAGGTGAAAACACGGTGTAAGCGAAAATGATCTGTTGATTGTGTGCTTATGAGTCTCTTTGTTGTGAGGGGGAATATGTCTCAGGTGGTACAGGTGGCTCCATCCCCTCGAGCTAGCAGCACCTCGCAATTTGTGTGTGTGTGTGTGTGTGTGTGTGTGTGAGAGAGAGAGAGAGAGAGAGAGAGTGTGTGCGAGAAAGAATGAAAAGTCACTATAAAGGGCTTGGTAAAACCTAGATATTGTTAAATGGTGCAAAATCAGTGCAGACTATTTCCTTGAAACTGAATATTCTCTCCTGGACCTTTGCGTTTCGCCAAATTTGAATGTGACAAACTGTTTATTGCCAATTCCACATGATAACCTACCACTTTCCAAGATTTTTTTCTCTGGTATGAATCAAGCAAATTGGCAGTGATTATAGGTAAACAATGTAAAAGGCTGTTTAAGCCACTTACTTTCCACTAATTGAGTCTGATTTATTACCAAACCAACATAATGACTAATAAATATAAAGAATCAAGTTAGAATAAAGAATACCATTTCAAATAATTATCCTTCCTATCAAAGTTGAGAAATTAATGCTTATAAGTACACTGTTTGGCCCTGAATAATATATCATAGCACATTTATCACATTTATCTAGAAGCCAAAGCAGTGATTTTGTTCTCCGGCTGCTGAGTTTAGTCAATTTAAAAAAAATATTCAGGAAAACAGATTGTGTAAGCTTTGTAATTAGAGTGAAATGGAAAGTGAGTCCCAGTTTCTTTAACACACCACAAATTAGGATGATTTAACAAAATTAATTTTCCATGACTTTAAAATATTCTGAAGTACAGACAGGTATAAAAAAGATTGCTTGTATGATTTTGACATTCAAGTCCCTAACTAGAGAAGGAAGAGGCTCAATAAATTAACTACTGATGATTCATGTATGATAGTATCTGCTTTCAGTGTACCTAAACTGTACATGGTGCAGTTATTACTTATTGAAACAGAAGGACTATCATTACTATATGATTCATATTCCTCTCCATTGTGTGCCCACGACCCGCTATAGCCATTTTGGTGCGCTGGGTGAAATTGGGATTTGATTCCCCACACGACCACCACCCGCCTCTGCCTATGTAACGTAATAATAACAGCAAATATTTTTCCATTGCTACTGGGCTACCTGCTACCATACATTAGTAGTCACTTTAATGATTAAACAAGCCTTGTTATATAATGACACTATCATAAATACAAATAATAATACAAAAGTACACCATGTTGCAGTATTGTTTCGCCCGTTTGTGCTATTGGTTGTAAAATTAAAACTAGATGTTTTCACAAGATATCCTAGGTGCATAACAACAGCAAAAACAGGTCCTTCTAGCCTGTTATGGTGGATTGCCAGTCGGCCTGGTGGTGTCATGATATATTATGAAGAAATTAAACTGTGTAGATATAAATTATATTACATTTTAGTCAAACAGAAATGATACAATGCTTTTATCAAGTGTTATAGCTGCATAAATACTAAAAGCAAGTCATTGTAGCCATTTGCTGCCTGGTTGCTAGGCAACATATTGCCATCATAATAGCTGATACATTAGATATTATTAGATAGGTATTAGATAAGAACCTTCATGAGCCTAAGATGTACCTCTTTGCCAGGTTTGGTTGCTCAACCCCTATAAGGTAGGAGGAGAGAGACTATTTTACACTAACAGAAACATTTCCATGAACTGTGGTAGAGTTCATAACTCACAACCAACGTGTAACAAATCATTTAATTAAACCTCTGTGTGTGGAACAGGTCACCTGTCTGAGATGCAGAAAGGTACAGATTGCAAATGACTGTCCTGTCTGAAATGATTAATAGTTATGAATATTATTAATGCTATTGTGCTACATTTAGAAATGGACAACTCTCCTGCTTTGGGTAAAAAAGAAAAAGAAATAATAAAAAGAAATAAGGACATAAAATAGGGATGTTGTAGGAAACCCCATTAGGCCCCAACTATTTAAACTTAGAGGAAACACTCCTGCAAACGTGCACAAGCAACAAGCACACTAACCTAAGAAACCTCCTGGGGTGTGGTGTTTAGCAGCCAGATGCTGGAGGTTTCTTTTGTGCTAGATGAAAGACTTCATGATAGTGGTGGGGTGTGTGTGTGTGCATACTGTTCAATTTTGAAAGGGTGAGATTAGTATGGGGTGAGCTGTAGGTCAAGTAAAGGGAGAGGGCATTGGTGTAGGTTAAGAGGCCAAGTTTAGTGGTTTGGGTTTCACTAAGTGAAACTACAGGGTACGGTGTAATTGAGGTGTGGCACTGGGTGGTGTTACTTCACAGAAAGAGGGGACAGAGGCGTGGAGGTTATTGTTACGTGTGACAGCAGGATTTCTGACTTTACTGGTTGCATAATACTTTGACAGGCACTTTCAGTTAAAGAGACAACATTTATATTTAATAGGGACAGAAAAAATACATACTATTTAAAGGTATGCTGATGTATATGGAATTCACAGTGTACACATTTACTTTAACGTTTATCACTTTCAGTACATGAGTACAGTAAGTGTGAAACTACAGCTAGCAACCATGTCGCGTGAAAACAGAAAACAGAGGGAAAACGTTCCACTGACACTGTCAAGGGAAAAAAAAAATCTTACTATCTAGAATGCAAAACATTATACAGAGATTATTTTCTATAAATCTAAGTCTATCTGTGTGCAAGCAAAATTTCATTTTTATAACTTGTAAAAAAAATGAGCACGGTGGTCTCTGCAAGTACTCTGGCTTTCTTTCACAGTCCTAAGGCATGCATGTTAAGCTAACTGGTAATCTTAAACTGGTTGTAGGTATGACTGTATGAGTTGTTGTATGTCTCTGCATTATGGCCCATTTATGCTTGACCCATAGGTTGCTTTCCCCACCAATGTGACACAATCACAGAGCTGTATCCATCTATACTCGCCATTACTGCACTTTTGTCTATTTGCAAACTTCTTCAGCACTGTTATAGAACTCTCCCTCTAGGAGTTCTGTGCCATCTGGGAATCCCTGCGCTCCAGCACAGATGTGTCATTTAAATGTCTGCACAGGCGCCTTGAGTTCGGCCATTTTGAGGACACCTGTGCCAGCAACGGAAAACGTGCAAGGTTTCAAAAGTTGGAAGGCTGAAATGACACCAACCACACAGGTTGCACCGGTGGCTATGATGTCATCATTTGTAATCCGGCACTCTTTGCTTGGGTGAGAATGATGAATATAAATAGGTTCTTAGGTATGTGGCACGCCCAATGTGCCCTGCCCCTTTTCCTGGGATAACAACAATAGAGTCCAGCCCCAAACAAATGGATGAAGAAAATGGATGGATGGATAACTTGTAACTGTAATAAAAACCTTGTGATTGTGCTGAAATATGAAAATACTGCAGCATAAAAGTTAAAATCATTTGAATTTTTTGGGGGTGGTAACACTTTTTATAACTCCTATAAGTTTTGAGTTTTACAGGTGCTGGTGGGCAGCTTTATTTCGACTTTCACTTTCACTTCCTTCCAATATCAAAGTATTTTTGTAACTGCATTAAACACATCAAAATATAGAGAATGGCTAAAATATATATTCTGAACTAGTTTTCAAAGCTGTTCACACAGATCTTTAAGCATTGCTCAAACAGCCAAGGACATAATCAAAAAAACAAAACAGTCACACAAACACATTTAAGCGCAGTTTTTACTATGTATCATCTCAGGGAAATTGATTTGTTTTTTACAAAATACATTCAAATACTGTTACACCAGAGAGCAGCCACCCCTGAAAAACAGCACACTTGCAAATAAATGCAGACAAACATGAGTATTATGTGTTAAAGGTTGACGCTCAAACAGAGCAGAAGCTCCGAAAGTTCAAAAGGTGCAGCTTCTCATTAAAGTTGTCAGCCCCAATTAGGCATGTTGACCTTGTTTCTTAAATGTTAAGCTGTGATCACGTGTTAGCCTATGTGAGAGTGTCATTGTGTTTACTGTGTCAGTGGTCCAACCGAGAGAATGCACAGTGAGATTAAAAGGTGCACAGGCAGGTAAAAGGATAAGATTATAGCCCTGCAGACATTATGGCTAATCGCCCTGTGAGGTTGTAAACATGCTCCACAGGAGCACATGTGAGCATGTTTATATAAAAGAATAGTTGGGCAGACTCACGTCTTGGTCTCATTGGCCTCCTTCTGCATGATATCCAGGATCATGCGACAGGCGGCGGAGCAGCCCTCGGGTGTTGAGTGGATGGTGATGGGTTTTTCAGCTGCACCTGCATTTTCCTTCCGATGAATGTCTACCCTGATAGAAAGAGAGACAGACATATATTGGCATTGTAGTAGGTAGGGCAGGGCAATATGGCCAAAAATATTTATCACGATATATATTTGAAAATTTGCGAAAACGATATAACTGACGCATGAAAAAATACTTTACAACTCCACAACTTCATTAGTGCAAAAAAAAAAAAAAAAAAAGACCATCAATGTTTTATCACTTAAACAAGCAGCTGGTTTTTTTATGCAAATTCCTTGCTGACAGTTTAACCAAAAGGCATTTCCAGTGGAAATGGACTGACATATCCTGAGCATAACCATGTATAATATCCACAAAACTTAAAAAGAGGTTACACACACACACACACAATATGGTAATATTATGTTGAAGCACAGTACGTATCACTCCGTGAGGCTCTTGACTACAATCCATCAAGCGGTGCGGCTTCGTAGCTTATCAAAGTCTGACAGATTTTCGAGCGCCGTGTGCCACATAAAATCAGTTCGAGGTGAGTAAGCATAACCAGAATTCATACATAAGACGCACCGGATTATAACTGTCGATTTTTCAGAAAATCAAAAAGATTTTAACAGCGACTTATTTTCCGAAAAACATGGTAATAACGACGGCCCGCTTGCCTGCTCTATTAAAAATTGTGCTTTGGTGTGTATCTGACCGACAAAAACCAAACCAATTCCACACCACTGAAGTTGCACCATTTTTACAAACCAAATCTGGTTAATCTGTCATTCAATGCTTTCACCCTTCTTATTCTCCATCGCCGCGATGCTTTTTCCACCATGTGCGTATGAAAACAAAGGCACTGCGCATGCGCGTTTTACCCATATTCTATCGTGATATTTCATTTTCTTATCATTGCCTAACATTATACCGGTATTACTACGAACGGTATGATATGGCCCAGCCCTACATTATGAAGATGAAGAAGAAGAAGCAGCAGCAGCAGCAGCAGGAGCGGTACATTGCCAAAATGTGTCCTGACCCAAAAAATAAAAGAAAGGTTAAACTCCAGCAGGGTGAGGTGCTGTTGCTCACTTTGACTGTGTCTGTTTGGTGACATCCTTGATGGTGTTGCCTTCCTTGCCGATGATGGCTCCCACAAACTGAGTAGGCACGAGCATGCGCAGTGGGAAGTCGTGTTGTCTGGGGCGTGGAGATCCGTAGCCTCCTGATGGCCCGGGCTGAGAGGAGCCCTGGTCCCGGGAAGTCCGACCCCCACGACGCGTGCGGGGAGCCTGGACAGGTGGAGCAGCATCCGTGTCCATGATATATGACACCTTGAAGGAGTAGTCGTCGAACTGGTGTCCTGTCAACTTCTCGATGGCTCTGGGTGGTAGTAGGAATGTAGAAGCAGAAGTATCAGGAAGAGAGAGGGGAAATAAATGAACAGATGCACTAACACAAGAATATCAGAATATTCTCTGACAGTTTGACTGATTAACTTTATAAGCCTCTGATATATTTGCTTGTAAACACATGTTTGTTACACATGATGACTACCTCAGCCGAGCAACAGTCACCAAAGCGGCAAATTACATCTGACATCTGATTATTGGTGGACAAACATTAAATATAATTTGATTTCATGCATCATTCACTGCGCTTTTTCGTGGGAAACGCAAAACAATTAAAATGCAAGATCACACAGCAAGCTTCTCAACTCTAGCTCACCACACACCCACCGGCAGTGACCTGGTGAGCTTACATCACATTATTTTCCCTTCAAAAAAAATAAATAAATAAAAAATTTCCCCTCATAAACACACCAACACAATGGTTTGAAACACATCTACTCTGTTTTCACAAGGCTAAAAAAGTTGGGAAAATGTCACCTAGGTGTTCGATGGACAGCTAATGGAGAGAACAAACATGTTTGCCTTCTACCTTTTAATCCTGTCTTTTTCTACAGTATAGTAACCTCCTCCAAGCTTACATGTGATTGTGTAAAAAAAAAAATCAGTTCACAAGGAGTTTGTTACTGTGTGGGCCACAGATGAACCAACCCTGCTCTAACCTTTATGGATACACATTTGAAACCGCCTGGTACAAAGAAAAATATACAAACAGCAGGACCAGTACTCCTTGTATTGCAGCTTCTTGTCTGTGCAAGTATATCATGAGTCTTGCTCTACTTTCATGCATCAGTGTCACTATTATGTGCCGCTTACACTTTAGCTTCCTCCTTGGTTGCGTATGTAACATTCACCACTGCTGTTTCTGTATCAGTGTTCACTGCAAAACAAGACAGAAAGAGAAGGACATGAAAAAAAACAAACAAACAAACAAACAAAAAAAAAAAAAAACACCGAAAAGATGACACACAGTAAACAGAGATTCGGTCACATGCACATAGCAGTTCTTTGTTGTTGCCGTAGGTGAGTCAGAGACGCATTCAGGTTCCCGTGGTGACCCAGAGAACCACTTGCCTGTGTGAATCCATTACAACCATCACCACACTGGCTCCCCTCCAGACCCTGCTGCTTCCTCTACAGACAGGAGCAGCTTAACACAATAGCCTCTCTGCCACTTGCACAATAACTATTTAAGTTTGACATGACAGCCTTAACAAAGCAAGTAATCTGTGATAAAATGCAAGGCAATGCACAGCTAAGAAGCACCTCGCCGAGACTTGTGGTCCGGTGAGGAAAGAACAACACGGATACCGCCACACTGAAGGGTTTGATTCCTGCTGAGGTCACGCATTCTTCAAAGGTTGAACTGTAAGTGGAATTCAATTCAAGCGAGCCTTGTAAAGTACACGCAATTACAAAGGAAGCTCACAATCGATCGATTGATGAAATTGTCCATTGATCAAACAGCTCAGATGCTGAGTTGATCACTCTAGTAATTTATAAGGAAAAACAATAAGCAAGCACAAACTTTATTGTAAGACAAAGAAAAAGAATATAAAGAGAAACGCCATCAATATTCATCACTTAATGAAATAATCAACAGATGCAGTCTAGCTGAAGCCAAGAGCTGGGCTATGAATACTGAGACTCGACTGCAAAACATTTTTCTTCTCCTCTCTTGTTCTCTAAGAGATCACAAAAAAGGTTTTGTTTGCTCTAATATTAAATGTTTTCAGAATGTTTTGTTTTGTTTTTGCTGTTATTAACTCATGCAATGCATAAATACAAAAAAATGTGACAAATTAAAGAAAAAAAACATTATAAGAGAGTTTATTTGCAAGATGCAGAACTACCACAAGCTGCCAAAACAGCTTCAGTCTCTGCATTACACAGGAAAATTTATTTTAAAAGATATTTCTTCATATTATATTTGACAGGTGTAAGCGACCAGCACACAATCTTTTGACATGGGAAGGTTAAATACTGCTCACATGTACCTGCACTGGATAAAGTCTAGAAAGCTTTAGGGCTGCTGTGCTAGTGCATGTGTGAAAACAGATAAGAGCCACTAGCTCTCCTCACTATGGGGGTCAAAATTGGAATTTCCCTTTAATTTGTCACCCTGGTATACATGTTTCCTTAACCGGTCTTAGCACATTGTACTTCAGCATGTTTTATTTAACTGCATGATACCTGTAACTTGAGAGAACAACAGTGATACTAATGGCAAAAGAACAAGGTCTGAGAAAGGCAGCTTGTGTTATTGATGAAATGCTTTCTGCCACAAGAGACAACAGTATCTACGTTTTTTCAACTACGCTTGTGAAATCAAATAAATGGCAAATAGAGCAGGTCTTCAAAGCTCTGTAAAGATACTTCTGAGGTTTTAGATAAAACAGGCACATAAACGCCCATGCAAGCCAAGAACAAAACATGTCAATTATAAATAAGTCTGAGATGCCAGGTGTACCACAGAAGTAGTAAAATTATGTTTCAGCTTGCTTTTCCTGTGAACAGTCATAAGAGACATCAATGTCTAAAAAAGAAACTTCCGAACCTGTTAGTGAGCAGCAGATAGCAGATTTTAAAGGGTTAAATCCAGGGAGAGCGCCCAGCTGGCTTACAGAGGGTGAGTGGGCTAAGCCTGGCGTGGTGCCCGGCACCGGCACTCACAGCCATTTCTGCCCCACCCCGCCACCAGCAGCTCTGACCATGCCACACAAGAACACGGGACTTCTCTAAAACCTCACCCCTGTAACAACAGCGCACAGACCCAGGCAGAGAAAAGTGACAGAGACCACAAGCAGGGACGGACACACGAGCAAGCTGGCTCCATTGATAATTCACTGCAACTAGCGATGTTTGGAGAGCCGGGCTGAGGAACTGAAAGAGGAGGTGAAGGGAAAATGCTGTGCCGGTGTGTGGTACAGCATGAAGTAGACTGTTTAACAGCAGCGTGTGGTAAACTCTGAGTGGAGTATCTCCTCTGTCGGATTCTCTTTTAGCACCTGTCATGACAACAGTGGGTAGTAGTTGGTTGTGGCTGTTTTGATATACAAGGAGACACTGTGCCTGTATGTGTTTGCGTGTGTGTAAAGATTTGTACATGTGCATCTTTGTTGGTGCTTATACCTCGCGGTGCATACCTCTATTACTCATGCATGCATGCTTAGACAGCAAAAAGTTTGCAGGGATTGCTCTAATGCTGCCTACCCCCCCCAAAAAAAAACACCACACACACAGACACAAAATCAAACAGTGCAAAAGCCTCACCACAGGCGCCTGCAGTGTCCTCCCCAGTTACCACGATGCACCGCCCCAAAAGAGATCCATCTCGCAAACACAAGCAGGCATAAACACACACGTGGACACATTACTACTGGATTACTGCCATGTCTGCCCACTTCAATCTATACGCTGGGGCCAACGGGAACTGTGGTAGTACACAGTGCTTATTATAGAGGCTGCATGCAATTCAAATGCTCGACTCTTCGGGTCAAACTTATAAGACGCACGCACACACGCAGACAGACAAGATGATAAAGGCTGATTCATATGCAGAGATGGGTTATGTTTAGATAATGGTTGTGTGGGATGATGGTAACGAGGAAGTGAAGTCACAAAGGGAGACTTGACTCACTGGGAGGTCTGCGTGCGTGCATGTTTGTGTGTGTGTGATGCTAAACAGTCTCATGTGCATTGAACAGTTGGAACCAAATGAAGATGACATGCACAGCAAACAGGGAGGAGAAGAATTCTGTACCTTGTTCCACGTTTTCTACAGTACCATACTGAGCTAGAAGGCCATCCAAAACCTGATGGGGAAAAGAGAAAAGAGAAAACTCAGACACACAAAACAGCACTGACACAGATACACATTAGAGTGAGATCAAAGCTTTAAGATCTGATTGATCTTTAGATTAAAGCTTATTACTGGAAGGCCAGACCTTTAACCTTACATTATTTTAATTACGTCACTTCATATTAGCTTATTCCTCTACAATGCATGGATAATAAAAAGCACTGTACGTTGATGTACCTAGCTCCAAACAAAAACTTTTCCTAATGTCAGATGAGTAGCTGCAGCTAGTGCAGACTTGTCTGTAAATAAAGAAAATGGGAGCTGAATGGCATCTGAGATCCCAGCTAATACTTGCAGAGAAACCTGGAGAGGTGGCAAAGACACACGTGTGTGTGTGTGTGTCAGAGATAGCACTCCCTGCAGTCACGCAATATTGGTAAAAACAGAAATACTTTAACATTCATAAGTGTGATCAATCAAAGTATTATTCCAAGAACTTGTATCTCAGTTGTTATACTTGTGGCTGAAGAGCCTAATCTTGCTGTGCAAAACATTATGGTGCAAAGGGGAAATAAGGCAGACATAAAAGACATACTAACACCTAAGATGATATAAGAATGTGTGGCAGCGTGCCATCATAATATGTTAAATAATAAAAGGTCACTGTTCAATCAGAAAGAAGTCAGATTCATGTAGGAAAAAACAAAAAATAAAACAGGGAATGTAAAAAGAAAACCACCAAAGGATCTTTCCTGGACCAACAGTGTGCAAAGAGTGACATCAGTAGAGAAGAAGGGCCACAATTTTGAACTTTTCACTGTATTTTGCGGCAAGGAATTGTGTTTCACGCATTAAGAATAAATCACATCATTAGAATGGTTAAGCCAAGGAGCCATTGCAGCACATTCTTTTATTCACTACAGCAGCGCATCTTTGATATTTTATTTTATTTACCAGAAAACTCTTGAGATTAAGAATCTCTTGCAAAAATGCCTGGGGCAAGACAGACAGGGTTACCATTACATGTTTTTCAATGGCAGGCAGAACTTGAGCTCCTGCAGAAAACCTGTGAAAGCCTCAGGAGGACATGCAAACGTCACACAGAAAGGCCCTCGTGGGTTTGAGCCCAGGACCATGCAGATTTGAGGCAAAAGTGCTGCTAAAAGTCGCCGCAGACTGACTGAATGCAGAAAAGCATACCTTTGATCTTTTGTTTGTTTTTTAAAGACATTTCATGCTGTCCACTATCTGCTTTTAAATAGATGGGTTTCTTTTAAGTCTTCAAAAACTGTACTTTTGTTTATGTTTATATATATATATATATATACATACATACATACATACACACACACACACACACATTTATTTTTTAATTTAAGTTATTACGGAAACTAATTATTTTACTCATCTGGTCCAACAGAAATGAAATAACTCTGAATGAGCCACATACAATAAAATGAGCTGCCTCTGAGCGTCTCTACTAAATTTCAGAAACAATTAGATGACACTTGGATCACATGTTTTCTATCAGATATTCAATTCTTTATCTATATACTAATACAAAAATATTGTGTTATTAAATGTGAATAAATTCTTTTGTACAATAAAACTGTATGCAGCACTAAAAGATTTGGGGGGGGAGAGAGAATAAGGCAAATTGTCCTAATCTGTTCAGTAAACACAAAGCGTTTTTATCCACTAATGTTTATAATATTAAAAACAATAAAACCCATTTAAACCACATGCCCAGAGCTGTGAGCGCAGACAGGCTGCAGATATTAAAATAAGAAAAATGATAGAGTAAAGGCTTGAAGACATAGACTCTCACACAGAGAAAACCAACTTGGACCCCAGCAAGGTTACAGATGTTGACACACAGACGCACTGTCATCTGCACACCGACGCAGACATAAGCACGCACACAAGTACAGACATAAACACACAAACACAGGATAAAGGCTGGTGACTCATCGTCAGGAAACTGGTTTATGTGCTACCTGGTGCTGATCACCAGGGCATTACTGTCACACCAACACACACACACACACACTGACCTCCCACTGTAGATGAGGGGGAATGTTCCGGATCTGGATCTTCCGACTCCTGCAGAGATGAAAGACACAGACGGAGAGAATTTAACAGACCCGAACCACAAACTCACATAAACTTACACTCATCTGTTGTGTTCAGAGCAAAGGCAGCAAACTGTGCTATATATATATATATATATATATATATATATATAGTGTATATTTATACACACACACCTCTGTTGTATCAGTAACTCAAAAGCAAAGATATAATGTAGAATCAGACCTGTACTATATTTACTGTATGTAATTTGACAGTCACTGTAAAACACCCACGGCTCATTATCACCAATCAAAGGGCTATCACAGATGTGCTGAAGGTACCGTAGGTATGTAAGGTGAGGGTGTTTATTAGACAGCAGCATGTGACTCCTGGTAACACCATCTTACAAGCACTGTGCTTACTCTCAACTGGAGAAGTGAAAGTATCACATGACAAGGAAAAAAACAAAACACAAAAGAGGCGCTCAGACCACAATGATGGGTTTCCTTCGTCCTGAGTGACGTAACTAGAGCAACAGAGGGTGTGTTTTTGGTTTGGAGAACAAAGGAAACAAAAAGCACCCACATTCAGCAATAAACAAGATATTCATGTATTCCCTGAAAATTTATTCATGTGTTCTTTTACAGTTTCTCTCTCTGGTTTTCAGTTCATATCCCTTTCATTTGTATCTTCAATTTCTGTAATTTAACACTGAACCCCTGGTCTTTTTAGTTTCTTGTCAAACTATATCAGTCAACCAAGCACAGTCCATCACTGGCCGGTCCATTTGGGATCAGAGGTCCTACAAAGCACCTCCTCTGCCTCCTGTGAGCGTTTCAGCTCCAACAGCAAAGCCACACAAACCGCCTGTGACCACAGGCTGTTAACAACTACATTAACGTGAGAGAGCCGAGCTCTGCGATGAAGGCAGCTGATGAAGAGCCGGTGGAGAGAAAGCCATGCTGCTGAGAAGCATTTTGGTGGGAAAACAGGAGAAACTACAACGAGTGAGACTGAAGGGCTGAGAAGCAGATATGAAGCGGAGGAGGAAATGTAATGGGATGTGATAATGAGCGGTAGATTTCAGTTTAGGCAGGATTGCCATGGGACCCACAAACAAACACGCACGTCGTATCAGCTTTGCTGCACCTCGAATGCCTGTGTTCACGCACTGGCAAACATTTCTATTCTGCATTTTTCTCCTGAACCAGGCTGGGCGTAAAAGACTGCAGGTCAGAGTTTCCCGTCAGTGGCTGAGGAGAGGTCGAGAGCACTGCGCGGGGCAGCTGGACACGAATGAATGACTCTTTTCTGATTGTCCGGAGAAACACAGTGTCACGTGGATTAAAGACAGCCCTCTTCCTCTTCTCCCCTTTTTCTTAAAATACCAAGAAATAAATTAACAAACTGACAATACCAATTTAAGGTAAGCAAAGGGGAAACGGCAGCAAAAAAGCAAACTTAATTTAAGAGTAGAACACCTTTTTATATGTATATTTAGCAATAAATCTTCCAACTATAACTTTAAAGTCTCTAAAGCGATAGACACTTCAGATACTGCCTTCATTCCGAAATAAAACAGAATGCACAAGGATAAAAAACTAACAGACAATTCCTGCTGTGTTGTACAGCACAGTGGCCTGCAAGCTTTCTGTCACTGATGGCAGTTTAAAGCAAGTGGCTTGATGAAAGATCTCTTTTGGCAGTCAATATCCAAACAAGGGTAAACCAATTAAAATCTGACTCTACCGCTAAAACACATCACTTTTTCTAACGTCGTAAACAAACCCGTGACATCCAAAAAGCAGCCAGTAGCTGAAAAGGATTTAAGACCAAGTCAAAACCTCAAAACAGCTCCGAATGCTGGCATCCCCAACCAACAGAATATGGAAACTGAAAGGTCCTTTCATTCGGCGTAGTCTGCCTAAATAGTCCGTGAATTCAGAAGTACCACTTCTCTGTAGCATTTGTGCTAATTAATTATTCCAACTAATCTTGATGCCCAATGCTGAACACTTACTTTATATTAGAATGGATACTTTAGTGAATCTGATGATGGGAGAGGCTAACCCAAGCAGGACGCTGGGTTTGGGGTAAACTTTGCAAACTCATTCTTCAACAGGAAAACATCGCTGTAAGAAATGCACCATTTCTTTCAGCATCTCTGTGGCAAAGTCATTATTTAGAGCCACCTGTTTTCCTGTCAGACTGAAAGCATCCAAAGGGACATCTTGAATAAGCAGTGACACATTTGAGGTCTCAGTCAGCATACACTGGATAAGCACAAGAAGACTGCTTTCTGTAAAATAAAATGCTGCCTGTCTACAGTCTTCAGGTATCCTCAACTTATTTGTGTTACCTTATTATCCATGAATAAACCAGAGGCAGTCATCTGCTAATATCTCCTGTTTGCTTGCATTCAAGCTTGAACCCAGTGCCCTTTCTCAGCTCCTCCTTTCCCAAGTCCAAAATGAACTGCAGTAGAAGATGCAGACTGAAGTCAATGGTTACTTAATGTTTGTTGAATGTAACCAAGCTGTCTGCTGCTGGTTTGGAGCTGTCTGCCACGAGAAAAAAGAAAGCCTCTCAATTTCAGCTTTTAAATATCCGAGGGTGGCCATGTTCATTTGAAAAGCTAATATTTACTGCACCCACCTGTACGAGCTAAGGAACCGTGTCTGCACACAGGCGTGCATACTAATACGCACACGCAAGCGGTGCAGTCGAAGGAATTTTAACCTCTGAGAGAGCAGGCAGACAGAGGGGTGAGAAAGAGGGTATTCAACCCGTGCCAAAAGTTTGCATTGCTCCTAAAGATGACCCTATGATCATCAACCATTCTAGAGGAATCCTTTCACAGGTTCTCTGTTCTCCTCTGTTCTGATCTGTGCTTTCAGTTCTACCTTCAGATTTTAAAACCTTTGTGTCTGGAGCAAAGACTCAGCTTGCTATCGGCACATATCATTTGGTTGCAAGTAAGATTAAAATAGAAGCAGCAGAGCTGCACCAATTGACTGTTTAATCTATTTGTCAACTAATATAAAATTAATCATCCATCCAAATTAATCTATTGCTAACATTGCACTAACTGATTAATTTGTACCCAAAAATGTCAAAAGTGAGACATTGATGTTTTTTTCCCCCTCAAGTTAAGTTAAGGTGATTAACTCCACCTTACATAAGAAACAGGGCTACATGAGACTACAGCTTCTGTCAATGCAAATGGGCAAAGACTCTGAAATTGAACTCATTTTAATGGAGGCAAAAAAAGGGAAGTTGGACAAGGTGTCAACATCAGTCTGGGAAAAGTTTCAACAGGAATGACACGAGATTAACAAAAAACACAACCCGAAACACAGGCTACATTTATCAAATAATTCAGGTGCTTCTGGGAGATATTGTCTATAAAATTTAGACACACAACTAAAACAAGCTAGACATAACTACAGCAGGGGCTGATCTATGCAGCGTTTTTACTTTGATAAAAGTAGATTCTATAAGAGCTTAGAAATTCACATGTGCAAGTATTAAAAAACAGTTAACATGCAAAACGGCCCCATGCTGTTAAAAAAAGGCAGTTTAATGCAACATAATCTAGAAGTAACCATATCTGATACCGTGTGTGACTTTATAAATATAAACTGCAAGTGAGGTGGATGACAAAGATTCTAAATTATATCATGATAGTTCAAGAAAACTTGCCATGATATTTCCGACATTATAGGAAATAAATAAATGAATAAATAACAAATTGTGTGTTTGGAATTTGCTTGCAGGCAGCAGCATTCATAAATGTAAGTAAATGAAGGGCATTTTCAGTCCTTCTTTTCCAGTAAGTTTCTGTCACTGATGACACACTCGTTAATCTGAAGTGTGAATTTACTGCAAAAGTAAATCAGCATTATATATCCTTTTTCCATTAGTAGCTACTCAGGTCAACTCTACTGGGTTTTGGTTGGTGGTATACCTGCTGCTCGGTGTGTGTGTGGGTTTTTTTTTTCAGAATCTGGGACCACAGTGTTGTTTTTGTGTAGAAATTTCCCTCTTTGCTGGATTCCAAAAATGGGGTTTTTGAGACGCTGTCAATGTAAAAACATCTATCGTTTCATTTTACACGATCGTTTGTTTCGTGGTGTTGCAAAATAAACTGTTTACGGCAATATTTTTTCACCGTTTTGATGGTCACTGTAGTGGCTATATTAATTTCTTAAAGTTCTCTCTATCTCTTATGTTTAATATAACCACACTAAGGACGGACAAGTGCCTGTTTTTATGCGTCGTCGTTAGCAACAACGACGGTAAAACCATCGCGTGTCCGCTTGTTTATTTTCCACATAAACCTTTCAGAATAAAGCTCAAGATCCTGTTGAGGACCTTTCAAAATAAACCGATTCACGTAAAATACTATGCAGAGTGTTTACGGATGAGAAGCAAAAAATAGCCATCAGGTGCTAAAATATAAACCTTAGACTCAAACGTTAGAACAAGCTTTTCCCCGCAGCACACCGTGTAATAAATACTCAGAAAGAAAATGGCGGCCGTTACAACTTATGTCTAAAAATGTATAGTTTCATGCATCGGGTAAAACACTCAACACCAGGTACACGACACAGAGCTGGAAACACTTCAAGCAAGTCGAGCTGCCCGAGATTCACTGAACTTTCAGAAAATATTTGTGATTTATATCATTATCGGGACGATAGATGTCTTATATCGGGATATGAGATTTTGGTCATATCGCACAGCCCTATTCTAACATACCTCTTAAAAAAATAAAATAAAAATATGCCAGTCTTGCAACTACCAGACCCTGTAGTTGCACACAAGAATACACAGGGCACACATGTCAGGCACCCATACGGGTGGGCAAATTCATTATGAAATCATAAAAAAAGCATGCCAATCTTGCTACTATGAGGTCTCTTAAGACACAGCAGTCAAGGTAATATTTTACCAACATCATATTTTACTGGGCCCAAAAGCAAAACCTGCACAGCTTACAACAGAGTGAAATGCCCTTTTGCAGCAAA